TTTATTCAGATATTATTGAAAAAAAAAACTACCAAAACGGCCCTGAGACCTTCCGGGAGAAATTTCTGGTTTGGGCCCTAACCAGATTCTTGGATCTGAACAATGTAAAATGCAACATTTTATCCCCCAGTGACAAGCATCTCATGCGAATAACATCATTAACAATAACAACGATGTCCATTTGTAATCGCAAAAAGATTTCGACAAACAAAACAATAACAGCCAGCATCGAATGCTCAACTCAACGATTAGACTTGGCTACTCGTTCCAACTCGTCCTTCTTTTTGATCGCATAACTATTCGACGAGCCTTTTGCCGCGTTCATGATCTCATCAGCCAAGCATTCAGCGATCGTTTTGATGTTACGGAATGCCGCCTCACGAGCTCCCGTACAAATCAGCCAGATTGCCTTCAAAACAATCAATCGGCGATTGTCATAGAACATGGTCAAACTTTTTAGTACCTGGTTCACCCGTCGGAGTGGCGATACGTCAACAGCTTGACGACGAACGGTACCAGCACGTCCGATCCTTGTCGAATCCTCACGGGGCCCGCTGTTAATGATAGCGTTCACAAGAACTTGCACAGGATTCTGGAAATCTATCAAATATATCGATTCAATTGAAACTCATGTGAGACTCTTTGATAATATGTGGTTGTCCCATAATAAATGGCACGGTCTAATTAGAGCTGTTACATTAGCTTTTCTTTATTTATGAGGTTATCAAGCAAGAACTCGCAAATATGCATGAGCAAAAAGACTACAGCTTATGAATGTGATCCTTACAAATCAATAGACCACAATAGGCTACAGTCGGAAATTTACACACAACACTTTCAACAGAAATGTCGATATGTGGAAATGTATCATTACGATTTCGTGGTAAGGGTGCGGTTCACTAGGACAGAAAGCGATTTTTCGCGTTTCGCGCGAAACATTTTTCGCTGCGGGAACCTCGGGTCCACCGCTGATCATCAGTGGACCTGAGGTTCCCGCAGCGAAAATGTTTCGCGCTGCGAAACGCGAAAAAGTCGCTTTCTGTCCTAGTGAACCACACCCTCGTGTCATAGTGGTACATTCCACGCTGGTCAAGAGGCGGAGTCCGTACCCATAACAGTATAACACTCCCATTTGATGCGAGTGATTATGTGCTAAATGCAGGTTTAGAACGGCATGTAGCACATGATCAAACTGACCGAATGAAGGCGTACACAATCAGCCTTGTTGCCTAACGTCGATCTTTTGTCACTCCCGGAAGTAACCAAGGCTACTCGGAAATGTGAAAAATTCTTTGTTTAACAGTCCCCAACACTCGCATTCGGTATTGCTGTGAAAATATAGTCCGCAAAAATCGATCAAAATCTATTGTACTGACGCAGAATAATTGTATACTAGCGACTGTTCCCATTATTCGCGAACCCATTCGTTCAGAACAATCACAATAATCGCCCAAACGCATCATTCCACACCAATTTTCTGATGCCAGCTTTTCCGTTGCCATTCGAAAATGTGCACAATTGCATATAAAAACAACACGACGGTATTGGCGTATTTGGAAGCCCGAAAACATTTATAAAAACGCAAGACATGTAATGATCGCACTTCGCGGGCCGCGTGGAATATTGCGGGCTGTGTGACCTATAGAGCAATCTTTAATATATCTGTAAACGGAGTGGCCTACAAAATAGTTAGATTTTCCATGAAACCGAAATAGTAAAAACGCGCGTGGTCGTCAATGTATTGGGAAGGAGAAGATAACCAACTTATTAGATCACTTCAACTATTTCTTAGTAAACCAGAGGATGGTTCCGTACATCCAGCACTTCTTTGTGTGCGCATCGCCGGCAAGACGTGGTCCCTTCACTGGTCACAGGGTGTGGTTCGCTAGGATAGAAAGTGAATTTTCCGCTTTTCGCAGCGCGAAACCTTTGTCACTGCAAGAACCCCAAAGGTCGTATCCCATCCTTCCTCAGGGAGACGCTTCCCCGCCACTGATCCTATCCTTATGGTTGGGGAAGACAGGTTGCGTCATAGGACCAGCCATACTCTGCGTTTCTAGACTCCCAGCGCGACCCTCAGGAAACAGTGCTTCAACAGGGAGGGTAGCCACAACGTCACCGTTCGGTAGTGGGCCCTGTGACGCAACCCTGCCTCCCCCAAGCTAAGGATAGAATCAGCGGCGGGGTACGCGTCCCGTGGGGAGGGGAGGGGGTGGATAGGATACGGCCCCGGTCCACTGCTGATCAGTGGTGAACCTGAGGTTGCCGCAGCGAAAAAATTCGTGTGCGAAAAGCGGAAAAGTCGCTTTCTGTTCGAACCACGCTCCTGGGCACACTTGCGGGATATCGTACCAGACAAAACAGCTGACTGGCAGCGACCGACTAAGGCATTATAAGATCGTTCCCAACTTTTGGAAAGCTACCTATAGATAAAGTAGAGTAGATGGGTGAGTTACGCTGAGTTGAGCGCACCAACAATTTTCAGAAAGATTGAAAACTCAGAACCCTGAGCTAATTAGGGATTGTAATTATGATTCGAATGCACCACTGTTACGTTTCGCATTACATCCAAAACATTGTCAGAGCGGTGTCAGAGTCCGCGATCCGTCGCGCGATTCGCGCGAATCGCGAAAGCGCAAGTGCCCCATTTGAACATTTGAAACACTGAATATGAAACAAGTAGAATCATGAACAGTCGTCATTCAGCCATCACCATCAAGCAGAAATGGCGGGATTGGAGAGCACCTTGCAGTATTGATCGGGCACTTGTGATTTCTGTGACGTCCGTCGCACGATCGCGCGAATCGCGCGACGGATCGCGGACTCTAAGGCCAGCCCTAACAAACCAATTTTCGCTCTCTTATCACTAAAACCTTTGAGCAAGCAATGGTCGAATCTGCTTCGAAAACGTACTGAACCCTTTTGAAAAAGAACAATTTCTTACCTCACCACTAAGTAGATGAATAATCTCGAAAGCATGTTTGACAATACGGACAGTCATCAATTTTTTCCCGTTATTACGTCCATGCATCATCATCGAATTACACAAACGTTCAACAATTGGACATCCGGCTTTGCGAAAGCGCACTGTCTAAACATAAAACAGAACAGTCATGATTCAAGCACTACTTCGATAACCTTGCCACATGAACATATGGAGGCTGATTTCAAGTGCATAAAGCTAAACAAAAACCTGGAAATGATCAAATGACTGCGAATATAATATATTGGCGTGATCGAAGCAGTAACATATAGCTGTACCTGGTACCGTCCAGCAGTATGAGGAAGATACTTGGAATGCTTCTCCTTCACTCCGATGTAATCCACCAGTGAAATATCACTCACATCTACATCTTGTAAGCTCCATTTATTGAAAAGCTTAGGCTGAACAGAATTGTAAAGAACAATCTGTATAGATCTTCCATCTGAAACTTTGCAAATCACACATTTTCATATCAATTGGTGAATTCCGATTATGCTGCTTTCCGCAATTGCGGGTAAGCAGTGCTGCGGCTGCAAAGGATTACGCGACACTACTTGAACTCTCCTCTGTGTTCTCTGCCGCGAAAGGCTAGAGCAGTGATGATTCAGTCAGCCTGGCTCAGGTCCAAATCCCAAGAAAGAAGGTGAGAGCTGCAGGAGTAAGCCTTGAAGAGAGGAGGGATTCCGAGGTGGGTGAGTCAATCACACTGTGGCAAGGTTTTGAATGTATCTCAGGTCAACAGTACCTAAGCCCGCCTAAAAATGTTTTTTTTAATTTTTTGCGAGAGAGGCGCCAGGCGAAAACGCCATCAAATCGAGACAGTGTAAAAGGACTGATTCCAACGCTTTGCTCCGTAGACCGCTGCAAAGAGCCTGAAATGTTAGAGAAATGTTCTTCAACCCTGACTAACCTCCGGTAACTCAAGCGGAGCTGGTGGTTGTACACCCGATTGTTCGACAATTACTGACCAGTCGTCAGACATTTGCTACCCTGAACATTCACTATCTTGTAAGTACTCAAGCATATGTATTAATGTGCCTAGGGAAGCGCCGAGCTCAAGGCAGGAAAGCGTACTGATCAGGAGATCAGAAAAGCGAGAAGGAAAGGAACTGAAGAAAAAGAGGATCTCAAAGAAGGCTTGGATGAAAACTGCGTAATTAGTTTAGTTATCTTACATCTAGCACACGTGTACCATCCGTAAGCGCGTTTTCCATCCGCCCTGACACGGCGAGGCCACGCTTTATTTCAGATCGTTTTAAAGGAGGGCTGCAAGACTTCGGCTAGTACCAAATGATGATCGATGGAAAAGCATACGCGCCGGGTATTACTCAGGCTGATGTCAGTCTCTGGGAATCGAGCGATTCGCTAGTAGCGTCCGCGGTCGCGTCGCGGCCAACGAATCGCTCGCCTGGCTGTTACCGCAAGGCGACCGCTTACGCTAGCGATCCGCCAAATACGAGTCTGACATCGGCCTGAGACTAAGATTTTTGGGGAAATGAAGAAAGCGGAGATGCTGGGCGCAATGTGGCTCGGGGGGCACTCTGAGAAAAGTCATCTAGGACTAAGCCTAAACAGCAGGGACGAACTCCGGAGAATACGAAAATTGCTTCCGTACACCGGAGTTCCTCTCCTCTTCAAAAGCTTAGTCCTAAAAACGAGCGTTTCCGTGATTTTGACGCGATGTTGCGAGGTGCCCCCCAGCCACACTGCACCGAGATGCTGTAATAGTGTACATGTGCGAGTTTACGGACTACTTGAACTTTCTTCCATGGTCCTGCCACGAATGGCGGAGGGCACAGACAGTTAGAGAACGGCGCCTGGCTCGGCTCCAAATCCCAGGGAAGGAGGTGAGAGCCCTAGGACTAAGCCTTGTAGGAGGGAGGGACTTCGAGGTGGGTGAGCCAACTACAGTGTGGCAAAAGTTTGAATGTGTGTGATCACAATGGTCATGAGCCGCTGATAAGGTGAGAGAGCGCAGACGAGAGATGGATCTGAGGCGGCTTAAAGGACGGGCGGGTTCCAAGTCTAGTCTGTCCGCACCCATGTGCGCGAGGGCCCAGACCAGCACTACTACAATCGCGAATTGCTAGCTTCACGCTGACGAGAGCTACTGAGACTTTTTTTCTGCCAAAAGTGAACTAAGCGAAGATTAGTTTTCTTCTGAATGTTCACAATAAAAAGATGTGGTTTTGTCTTGACTGAGAAGACGGGGGGAGGGCAGCTGCCGCCATGGCGCGCGACATGACCGCTTCCTGGGTGTGGTTCACTAACAATAAGGCAGAAAGCGACTTTTTCGCGTTTCTCAGTTTCTTGATCAGCGGTGTATCTGAGGTTCCCACAGCGAGAAATGTTTTGCGCTGCGAAACGCGAAAATCGCTTTCTGTCCTAATGCCCGCTTCCTTTGGTGCGAAACAAAAAATCTGCAGCCCAGGGAATTATAGGCAATTCAGCCCATGGTGGTGAGGCTAATCAATTCACATACGTACAGTGCTGATATCTGCGAGTTCATACTACCTTGCCGAGCGGGCGCGAACGTGCCGCGCGCCGTGGCGGCGACTGTCCCCCGCCCTAATTATGTTAGCATCCAAACGACTTCGTCCCCCTTGCAAAAAGACGGCCTACTTCTCCCCCATCCGCTCCCATCAAATTGCAGTTTGGACAAAGACCAGAAAGAATTGATTGATTCTAGTGAAGCCTTTGGGATCGCCTATTCTGCCGAACCAATACGTCTAATCTTTCCAACGATATCTTCTTGCCCACCAATTTTCTAGAACCTTCAGTATAAAACCTAAACAGCTCACTTCTTTTGCGAATTTCCCAGTTCTCCTTAAGGCTAAGTACGAACGCAGCCTTAGGCGTTCGTCAAACTTTCAAGAGACGACCGAAAAGAAACATCATCAACCAAGAACCACATAATAGGAAGCTTCGGACAGGTAATACTTACAGGGCAAATAGTGCAGATAGAAGAGTGTCAAAAAGATGTCAGACCTAGTCCACGTCTGTCAATTTCTGCCTGTCACTTCGTTCAACAAATGCAAGGCAAAAACTTGAGAAGTTTGCTTGCATTCATTAGCATTTCCACTGAGTAATGCATTGCACTTTTTATGAGGTACTCGCTTAAGCCTGCCTTGTGACAGCCAACTCATGAAATGAATTTTCCCTACACTACCAGAAAAAAAGAAAGTTTTGGGAAAAAGAAGAAAACACTACAACGAGAAAAACTGAAGGATTTGAACACTCTAGTGTATACTCCCTTTCAAAAAACGAGAAGAGCGTCGGGTGCAGACCATACACCACAAGTGACGACGGCCTCACAAAATGTAAATGTTTTCTGCCAATGAAATGATTAGCCTGTTGCAGTTGTATTCTATCAGTTGTCACTAATTACAACTATCATTTACCAAAAATCAGCTATCACTATGACTCACTACTAACCGGATTTGGGTCTATTCCAGTTAGAGGGGGGCATCATGATGCAGTTTTTCCAGAAAGCTAGGGTAACTCCGAGCCAGGGGGAGTGTAGCCAGGGGGTGGGGGTGAGGGCAGTCACTTGACATGCGTGAAAAGCTGGAATGTTCGAGTTCACACTAGTTCGCCGAAAAGCTGCATCATGATGACCCCTTATTTGGAATAGAACCCCCGGGTTTACTGCAGACCGTACACCATAAGTGACGACGGAGGCCGTCGTCACTTATGGTGTACGGTCTGCATTTTCTCTTTTTCTCCGTTTTTTTGACAGGGAAGTACCATTTCGCTGATAGCGGACGTGTGGGGTAGTTTGTAAACCTTGGCACTTGTTTTCCGGAACAAAGCCCATAGCCCCTTGGAAAAATGGGGGGGGGGGGGAGATTGGTGCGAAGGCACCGGAGCACATGAATGGTTTTAAAAGCTTCCACACTAACTCTGGAGCTTACATCCCCGCCAAAAAATCGGATGATGCTGTAGAAGGCACGCACAACTAGCACTAAACGCCCCCTTCCTCTCCCCCATCCTCAGCGCCGAGGCTGTTGATATCAATCGGAATTGACTCACGGTCAGAATTCAGACTAGTTGTTAATAAATTACCCATCAATTGCGGCACAATCATTACTTTAGAACACAAAATAGCACACTTTGAGGAAAATTGTACGTGACATGCACCTCGACGAAGACAGAAAGCTCCAATATCGGACCATACTTTAAAGATGGAGAATGCCGTGATCCGACATATGATCTCGCACATGTGATTCATTTCTCCAATCCATGTTCAGCACGAATTCCCGGATTTTTCACATGGTCTTCTACATGTTTCTATTATGTGAATCAGCCAGCGTTGTTTCAAGTTCTCTTCAGTTTGAAGTCAGAAAAAACGCGCCTCGGGGACAGCGTGAGCCAATCTCGTATCACAGGAGCGTGGTCGCCGAATCGCCCATGCTTACGACGCGGACGCAAGAACGCGCACCGTGTCTCACCTTTAGTAAAATGGCACAAATGGCTTACACACCAGAGGTAGAAGGCCGCTAATCCAGTAGTCATTACAATGACGCTTATTCGCGTCAATTTCTTCACTCTCACGCCGTTGAGTAAGAGGGATATCCAAGTGAGGTGCCAATGATAGTACTTGGGACTAACAAGCAAGCCCAGGAGAGGAAGAGGGATTCTTGGGCGAGGATGTGAGCCATAATGTATTCTCTATGGCGTTTCTCCCCTCTCCTAGACAAGTCCTAGTGTCACTTACCATCGACCCTGTTTGAATTCCTTCGCTCTCGTGGGCAGAATTTGGTGCCCCTCCCCTAGCGACATGAGCGCAGAGCTTGTTGAGAATGTGAAATGACGCTCTCATGATCTAAGGAAAGGGAAAAAACTTGGCGAAACGCGCCATAGGTGTGTGAGCGCCATGACGCCCTCCGCCCCCGTCGTGTATGTTCACTAGTGAGCAGGGTGAAAATCGCTTGAGGAAAAGACAACGGCTCGTCGAGGATTCTTTCACGCTCTCCCACGCGGATGCTCACTCTCGCCAGCTGCGAGCCGTCTGTGCTCTCCGCGCATTCATTCACTCTCGACACTACTCTCGCACGGTAGAGAGCCATGGTCGAGGAATTCCTCGACCGTTATTCACCCTGTAGTGTTCTTTCGGAAATGTTACAGTTCAAGATTCAAGTGAGTAGCGATTGGCGAAAGGAAAGATACGTACTGATTCAGCGAGAAGGCTGTTACGGCGATTGTCAGACTGTTGGAAATCAAAGTATTCGACACTATCCATTACCAGTAGGTCCGCGGGTTGCAGGTACCGCTGCCGTCGAGCGTTTTTTGCTGGCCGCGACGCGACGCCGCGACCTGTGAATCGCCTTGAATGCGCAGTTGCTTGGCTGCTATTGCACACGAATCGTCTGGGTTAGCTCACCACAGCGCGTAGCCTAGCCGTTATCACTATCGCCGATCGGTATATTTTTGGTCTCATTTTCGTTTCGCTTTGAGAATGTAGGATCAAATAATAAAGGGTTCACATAGGAGCGTAAACAAGACCTGAGCTGGCTTAATTTTTAGTGTTAAGCATTTGCGCGTGATTCATGAGGGAGTAACGCCCTTCCTTTCAAAGCAGGAATAGAAATCGTTAATTCTATTGAAATCACGTCAATGTCGCTTCAAACATGGAAATTAGCCATACGACTTGTCATAAAAATGAATCGCATTCCACGTACCAAAGACTGTTAAAGGAAGCACCTCAGAGAGAGAGAACGAACACGACGCACGTTGGGGGAACAAAATCGGCAAAATGAGTGATGCTACCTAGACGGAAGGCGCAACCGATAACGTGTTGCTGGCTAGACATGTTACTTCCGGTTCAAACATGTCAATAGATGATTGAAAAGATATGCATTGATTGGGATTGAGAAGATTAGGAGATTGACAGAATAAGAATCTAGGCGCTATCGCAATATACGGGTGCATTGTGACTACGACTACATTGGATGCCTTGAAGACCGCGTAAAACATGTCTGA